CACAATATTAAAAAGATGTTGAGACTCTAGAAAGAGTGCAGAGAAGAACCACAAAGAAGATTAGGGGACTGGAGGCTAAAACATATAAAGAACAGTTGTTGGAATTGGTTATATCTAGTGAATACCCAATTCACTAGATATACCCACAGTGGTGAAAGGAAGGACTGGGGGTGACATGATAGCAATGTTCCAATATCTCAGGGGCTGCCATGAATAAGAGGGAGTCAAGGTATTTGCCAAAGGACCTGAGGGCAGGACAAGAAGCAATGGGTGGAAACTAATCAAGGAGAGAAGCAACCTAGAACTAAGGAGAATTTTACTGAGAACAATTAATCAGTGGAACAATTTGCCTCCAGAAGTTGTGAATGCTCCAACCCTGGAAGTTTTAAAGAAGAGATTGGATAACCGTTTGTCTGAAGTGGTGTAGGGTTTCCTGCCTAAGCAGGGGCTTGAACTAGAAAGCCTCCAAGATCCCTTCCAACTCCTATTCTATTCTATTCTATTCTATTCTATTCTATTCTATTCTATTCTATTCTAGACTGTTTGAAATTACAATGGCACTGAAAAAAGTAAGTTATGACTATTTTTCACACTTGTGACCATTGTAGGAGTCTTATGATTACGTGATTAAAATTCAAATACTTGGCAACTGACTCATATTTATGACAGTTGAAGTGTCCGAGGGTCATGGGATCAGCTTTTGTACCTTCTGACAAGCAAAGTCAATGACGAAGTCAGATTAACTAAACAACCCTGCTACTAGTTTAACAACTACAGCAATTCACTTAATAACTGGCAAGGAAAGACATAAAATGGGACAAAATTCAATTATATGTCTCACTTAACAACAGAAATTTTGGGCTCAATTGTGGTTGTAAGTTGAGACTACCTGCACTGGTTATGTACTCCATGCTATTGAAGAGGCTGTAGCATAATAGCAGTACTACAATCTATAACCCCAGACTAAAAACAGTTCTTTCTTCAAGTATGATGCAGCAGGATTAGCAATCTGTGTTTATTGACTGAATAATACATTAACGCTAGCAAAGGTGTAATAAACTTCCCTATTTGCAGTATGTAGCATGGATTCAATTTGAAAAGGTGCTTTAGCATGTCAAGGAACACAAACATAGCACCAGTCTACCATTCCTTAAAACAACTGCATACAATCCCAGGAAAGACACCGTAGACAATCCTGTGTTCTGGAGCACCTTTAGGAGAGCAAAGCACTCTGAAGCCCTTTTAGGTTTAATGGATTAATTCTCACTGTGGATATAATTCCTTTATACAGGACTTTGAAGAAACCCAATCTAAAATGTATGTAAAAGACTAATGATCCAATGGATTATTAAATGTATATTATCTATCTAATTGTTCTAAGATCAGCAAACCAAAGAATCTAAATTCTAACATTTAAAAAATGGAAACAGGCATCCAAAGATGAATGCTAAAGTGAAAGGTTCTCAATAATAAGTTATCACATTCATATTAAAAAAAGTTTAATGAATAGGAAACCAAATTTTGAATACCTAATGTCATATTCCTCTTGAAA